ACGCTTACACAGTGACGTCACAGGTGAGGAAAGCAATGACGTCATCGGCGCGGTAAAATACAAAACCTTTGTCACTAGGGATGGAGGGCGCGCAGCCCGGGGGACCGAACCCACGCAGGGAGGAGCGCAGCGCAGCGCAGCTCTTCCCCGAGGTTAATTAGGGAAACGAAATGACTCTAATCAAGCCCGGCCCGCGCTCCGACCCGCTGGGAAGGAACCGCTTGAGGGAGCGCGGCCGAAGCAGAGCACGGAGGCAGCGCTGGCTTCTGCCTTTGCGGCCCTGAGCCTGGAACCCAGTGGCACTGGTGAAGTTTATATTGAACCGGGGACATCCCGTCACGTTTTCTGACCAGAGCATTGACTCACAGCTTTAAGAACAACTGCAGCGTGTATCTCTAACTGTCAGGAAGTCACTCTGCATTCTGTCCTTCAGCCTGATGCCTTTCAAAATTATATAGGTAGTGAAATTAGTTTTTCCCATTTGTTCATTTAAAAATAATTCTCATTTCAGTGGAAACAATTTTGAAATTATCATCATAGATGATGGAAGCCCAGATGGGACACAGGAAGTTGCTGAACAATTGGAAAAGATATATGGATCAGATAAAATAGTGAGTTGTATATCCTGTAATTTTTTTTTCCCATTTTTATTCTATTGGAAAGTACTTGAAGTCCTTAGAGAGCAGAGTCCCTGGATTCTGCACTTTCTTTACATCCTTAAACAAGTTATTTAAGTTTTTGCAGTCTACTTTAGACAGCCCCGCAGCCGCTCAGCAGTGTTATGACCTAATATGCAGAATTATGAATTAACGTTCCGAAAATGTCTTCAAGGCTTTGTGCATTGCTGGGTGCTATTGAGTAATGAGTACTGGTTGTTAGCACACTTTGTGCATGCCTGAGGGAAAGATGAGGTTTGGATAAGCTTTAATTTAATTTTAAGTGACTGTAGGAATAGGGAAATTGGAAAGATGAAAGCTAGTCTGGTCTTGTGGTTTATTTTTAATGTGTCTAGTTGCATTCCTCAGTAACAGGACTTTTTTTTCTATTTAATATATATTACTGTATAACCATCAATTATATACACCATGGTACTGTCATTTATTTAGTCTTTATGAGCCACTAAAGACACTTTGGTGGGGAAGGCAATAAAAGCTTTATCATAGAACAGCGTAAAAACCCCAGGTTCAGTTTGAGTTTCGTGCTGTAAGCAGCGTCAGACACTTTCCTAATCTATTACTGTGTAAATGTAGGGGTTTAAAAATATTTGTGAATTAAGTACTATTTATAGAGATTGCTTTAAAACAATGTGTGTAGGAAGTTTTGTTGTTTTGTTTTTTTTTTTTCTTTTTTGATACTAGTAATAGCAAAGTTTAAAATAGTTACCCAACCTTTCCTCACTGCTCAAGAGTTGAATTTTGAAGTTTAATCTTTGGACCAACCCCTCCAGCAGTGTTGAGCCAAGCACTCTTGGGTGGAATTACATGATGGCACTGCCATCAGCTCACTCGGATATTACTGCAGAAGTGTTAATCAGCTGTGATTTCTTATTAGGTCAATTTTCTTTTTTTTCCTTTTTTTTTTTTTTTTATTTACCTGAAATTCTTTTCTCAGTTTCCAGAGCAAAATCATTGTTCTGATTTGTACTTAGGAGTAGTCATTCAAATAGCACCATAGGGCTTCTCGCATAACTGTTAACTTAATGAGAGGCCAACGTGTTAAAGGAAGTAGGTGAGGAATCAAAGTGGGTTTTTTGGTAAATGTTCAAATTTAACTATTTATTAAAGAAAAAAAAAATCTATGGGAAAAAAAACCTACAAACTGAAATAGCACATCAGCAGAAGCACTAATGATTACTGACTCTTTCATATCCACATCCTTCTCTGAATGACGTTACTTATGACCTCTCAGATAACACGTCAAAATTAGCCAAGATTTAAAATTGAGATTTAAAATTTGTTCCTGAAGTATGTTTAGATGACTTCTTAAATATCTACCCACTCCTTCCCAGATGCTGACTTGTATCAAAGGCGTTTTAGGAAGAGTTGAAAGTTAAATTACTATCATGGTGATCTAAAAGTCCTCTTTGGTTAGTGGTAGTGCCCCCCGCACTTCATGTGGCCCTGCAGGAGCTGAGGATACTTGGCACAGGTTTAAAGCTTGGTCACACATATCCTGAAATATTAATAATATTGTTATATGTCATTATTCATGTGTTGTATCTGTATGCACATGAATATCTTGAAGTTTATATTCAGTACTAAAAGTATGCCAAATCACTTTGGGAAAGTGGCTAAAATATTTGCTGTTAGGGTTTTTTGTTTGTTAAAAGTAACGGTGCTGGGGAGATTTGTTTAATTTATAACTGTATTGTGGATTTAGATTTATAAGTTATAGTGGAATTTGAAGAAATCCTTTAGTTAGTAAGATGATGCTTTTAATTTTGTTTTTTACTGCAGAACTACTAAATAAAGCTTAAAGGGGTTTGTTTCTAAATATGACCTGATCAAATAATGTAATGGTTTGTTTCTCCTGTATTTTGACAGACAGATTTATTTGTATATGTTATACAGATTTCTAAAAATGAAAAGTACATTCTAAAATATTTGTATACCTTGAAAATAGTGAATTTGAAGGTGTTACTAAAATTAATTAAAAACTGCACTTCAAGTAATATCTGTTTATTTTAATATATCCTGCAGCTTCTAAGACCCAGAGCAAGAAAGTTGGGCCTTGGTAAGTCCTTATCAACTCTGGTTAGTGTTAAAAAAATTTTTAAATAATCTGTTGTATTTGATTAATTCTAGTGTATAAAGTTAGAGAAAAAAAAATCACAGTAAAGCCCAAAAGCAGAACTATTTTTTCATTAATTTTTTTGTAAGTGAACAACCTTAAAAACCACACAGCTGAAAATCACAGAGTATTATTTATAACAAGTTCCCTGCAACCTGAAAACTGGTCACTGCAAATCTGTACAACTGTGTTTTCCTATTAACATCATGCTGCTGCCCTCCCTCCCATACTGCATTCACTGACTACAGAATTAGGGGACTGAATTGAGAAAAAATGTAACATTTTACAAGAGTAGCTGCTACGTTTTTGGGGAACCTTCTGATCCAGAGGGGACAGTGGTACTTTCTATGCAATCCACCCATGTGCAGGATGCTTCAGAATTGGACCATAGCTCATGCAATCTCCAGAGAAGGCTGGGATGTTTTTCTGACATGTATTTGGACAGAGCTCTTCACAGTTAAACCCATTTCACTGTGAATTATGACAATTAAATAAAATACTTATCTGAGAGAGGTCCAGCACTCAAAGTAAGTATTGTCCCACCTATTAACTAACGTGTGAATTGAAGGCTTTGCAGTACACTGCAAAAGTTACTCATATTGCAGAAATCTCACTAATTTGGGAGCCAGTCTCATACCACTGAGACTGATCATTAAAATTGGCATGGAATAATGCAGGACTGCAATTTTATAGCTCTGCTACCATATTTCACAGAATATGTAAATCAAGTTTGCTGTTATTTGCTTTAGAAAAAAGACATACCCTAGGAAGTCATTAATGACATTAAAACTTGTAGTATGGAAACTATCCTAAAATAAAGTGGAGATGTTTTAATCTGTTAAGATTCATGTTGTATCTCTATCTCTCCTCTTTTATAATAGGAATGGAGAATATTATAAAATGCAATACCTTGTTTGATTTATTGTTAATCGGTATCTGCCTGTCTTGCTAAATGTCTTGGCAACCCCCACTTCCATGTACTGGTAAAACATTTTATGTGTCTTGTGTACTGAGTACTGCAGCTAACTAATTTCTCCAGTCTACTGAACAAAAATAAAACTCTAATTTTGATATTGAGTTGTCTATTTAAATCACCTTTCTATAATTTTTTCTACATTTCATTTATCTAAGAAACACCAAAAAGCCTGCGTATTTTTATTTTTATATTATCTTCCTTTTCATCCTTTTTTCTAATTTGACAAGTATTATGGATTAAAACTGACTGAATTTAAATTTTTAATGTACAATATCTGCTAATCACGCACAGTACACAGATCTGTGACACTCCTGCTGTGTAACTTTGCAAACAGCATGGAAAAGAAAGGAAAGACAGGTTGTTCATTAACCAAGAGTTTAGTTTTCTGTGAGAGTACCTGCTGAGGACATCAGTTGAGAGTGTTCTGCTCTCAGTTTTATCTATTCCTTATGAAGTTAACAGAAAGACTCGAGTAATTTGGATCAGTGAAAAGTAAATGCCAGTTTTTAATCTCCGTTGTGCTGCTGTGCTGTCCTTGGAAGCAGCGCTGTCTTTGGACGATATGACTCGAGGCAGAAACGTGCATTGTTGAGGAAAACTAACAGCAAGACTTGTTCCAGCTCTTGCCAAGACCACTACTCCAGTTCATGCAGGACAAATAAAATGCAACAAAATCTAAAATAAGAAAAAGAGACTCTCTTCAGATTAGGTATCAGAATATAATTCATGGTGTCGATGAGAACAAAGCAAAATCTATATACTATTAATAGTAAATCCTGAGTCTAGAGAGCAAGCTTTGTTATCTATCAGTGATTATTTTGTTGCCTGTGCCCTATTTCCAGTTTTCTGTGGCTCATAAGGGCCTATGGCGCTTCTGGAAATGTTATTTCAAATGTTATTACTTGATAAGTAGCATCTCACTTATCAAGTCATGTTTCTCTGTGCATTTCTAGTGCAATAGGGTTTGCCAAGGTTTATAAAATCTAGTGCTGAAATTGTAGGGAAAAGGAAAAATAATTTTAATGTTTGACGACTGATATATTTTATAATTAATTTTAGGAGGTTTTAGTTAATCCTTTTCTAGTATAACTTAGGGATTTTAGAAAATAAGTGAAGGTTGTGGCTAGAAGATTGCATATGTTAAAAGAGTGAGGGAAATTAATTCTGTACTGTTTTCATCAGGCACTGCTTATATTCACGGAATGAAGCACGCCACTGGGAATTTTATTGTTATTATGGATGCTGACCTCTCTCACCATGTAAGTCTGTATTTTTTAAGTACAGTGGTTTTAATCTGTTATAATTACATTTTCATTGATTTTTCTTTTTTTTTAACCTCCATTCCTTTTTTTCTTCTGATCCGTTTTCCTTCCATTTCAGCCAAAATTCATTCCAGAGTTTATCAGGTAGGTGCCAATTGTAGTATGAGAGAATGATTCCTGAACATTTATTGTTTTGTAGTAATATTTGAAAGCTTTCTATTCCTGTATACCTGCAGTAAGAAAACTGGCAAGGCAAGAATTCAAATAAAAGTGATTTGATGTCATTAGATTTGTCCCAAAATAAACTTGGGGATTTCTGCTTTAGTTAGGAACTAATTATTTTAGTTACTCCAGGAGAGGTACAGATTGGATGTCCGGAAATACTTCTTCATGGGAAGGGTTCTCAGGCACTGGAACGGGCTGGCTGGGGAGGTGGTTGGGTCAGCATCCCTGGAGGTGTTTAACAGACAGGTAGATGGGGAGCTTGGAGATACAGTTTAGTAGTGGACAGGTACGGCTGGACTCGGTGATCTCAGAGGTCTTTTCCAACCAGGAGATTCTGTGATTGACTTTTCTGGATTAAAGGAACAGAGAGCATGTGTGGCTCAGTACTTCTCTTCCTTGTACTGGTTGTTTGGCTTTGAAAAGCATATATATAAATGTCATCTCATCAGTTTATCATGTGTGCATGTAGGGATATTGATTGGAGGACCATGTCCTCAATTGTTGGTGAAATATTACTGTGTGCATTTTGTCTACCTCTTGCCTTCCTCTCCTTGTAACACTTCAGTTGGTGAGAAATGGTCAACAGCCATTACCTTAGAAGATGAGGGCAACAGTCCCTCTAATTTTCAACTTTCTTGCTAGGTAGTATGGGGGGGCCTAAAATTTTAGGTCAGGTTCTGCAGCAGTCAGGTGTGGTATAGATTAAGGATAGTTCCAGACTTTTTTCCCTTACTATTGGTTTGTCTAATTTAAACACTTAAAACTGTATTTTAAATCATTCTGTCTTTTGTACTAGAGAGAGGCTTTAAAAATGCTTAAGTCAGGCTTTATAAATTATTTATGAACTTGTCTGTGAAATTCTGTGGCATAGTTAGTAAAAGATCATCATAAGATTCCCTGAAATAGCTCTTTATAAGAGAATAATTATCAAGTTTTTAAATGCATAATGCTTATAACCCCTGTAATTATTGCTTTCCTCTCTTCTCTACTTATTTGTTCAAAGCTTTGTAAAATACAGATTTTGTACTAAAAGAGTGGTTGTTTTTATTTTGAGATTTGTACTACCCTCATACAAATATTCCTCCTGCTTTTCTGATAAAACCAATTGCTTATAGAAAGCAGAAAGAAGGCAATTTCGATATTGTATCTGGAACAAGATATAAAGGAAATGGAGGAGTATATGGCTGGGATTTGAAAAGAAAATTAATCAGGTTAGTATTTTTCTAGATATTTATACATAAATTTGTTATTTAGAAATAATAATTCCAAGTACTCAACTCAATCTGTGTTAATGAACTGAGTCTTTAGTCAATAGTACTGGGTACTGCAAAATTATGTTAACTAATGGAAGCATGCATGATTTGCAAATTCTTTGGTTAAAACACACAAAAAAGAATGTAATGATAAGACTGGGCTTGAGAAATGGGTTGGAACAGTGGACAAATCTGCATGGCATCAGATTGGGACAGTCTTTCAGCTTTATCATCCAAAGAATGAGCTGAGACTGTAGCACTTTGTCAGGTTTAAAAGACACATTTAGTTAGCTTTAATAGCTGTAACGGTCCTTTCCCCAAACATTAAATCACTTGCTAAACCCCTCGGCTGACACTCTGATTTGTCATAAGTTAAGAATTATCTGGCTCGATCAATGTCACTAAGTCATTACTTGGGCCTTACTGGAAAACAGTTACAGTGAACACTAGGGAGAAGTTTAACCCAAAAGCAAAGATGACTCTGTCAAGGTCATGTAAGCATGTGGAGCCTGCAAATGAGGTTTACAGGGACTCACAGATTTTGAGGAAGTAATGGACAATTTCTGCATAGTCTTTCTCTCTGACAGCTGATTTAAGAGAATAGACATAAGTTAATGCTGATTTATTGTTACTGTAGAGAATTTGGAGCAGAAGTTGTGTTACCAGTCTGATATGGAGATGGTATCACAGGGACTGTATTTGGATTTCTCCTGTTTTTTAATGGCTGGAATAAGTCCTCATCTTTTTGTGAACCTAAATAAAACATGCACCCAAAAAAAAAGGAGGAGAGCTAAATGGAAATGACAGAGGAATCCTTTTTCATCATACTGAACAAAATGAAGGACTTGCACATCTTATCAGGGTGTAATACAGCCCTCAGCAAGACAGTCATGACTGGCTTTTCAGTCTCACAATGTTTTTCAGCAGTGGAGCTTATCCTTATCATAGTGTAAACCAAAACTGAACCTTGATTTTCTAAATCCAAGCATCACATTTGTCCAGGAAGCATTTTTGTTCTCTGCTTACAGTAAATGTTAGTCAGAAGAAAAATGTTGTTTTGACTGTTGTCAGATGTATTACTTTTGTATTAGTGTCTAGTTGTACTGACAGTTCTAGCATAAAGAATCAGGTTGTAAACCTAATTTCTAAAAATTATTGTTTTCTCCTTCCATAATTTACTCATCTACATTTGAAAAACAAAACGTTGAGTTTTGATTTCAAGATTCTATGATTCTGTGATTTATTAGTAAAATCTAGCAGTGAAAAGATATTAGAAATACAATTGTTTCATATTAAGCAATAAAAGGTTTCTCTTTTTTTTTTTTTTGCTAGTAGGATGGCATTTCCTTATTTTTTAGAAATTCTGCTTGATGTTTCGGAGTTGTGTACTGAGCAATTTTGACATTCATGTTTTCTTTCACAGTCGTGGTGCCAATTTTCTAACTCAGGTTTTGCTGAGACCAGGTGCATCTGACTTAACAGGGAGTTTCAGGTATGGGTCTGGTTTGCAATTCATAAAGTTTATTTGAAATTTAAAAACTGCTGAACAAGGAACTGGAGTGAGCACAGACCTTCTTTACTGAGAAGTGTTTGGAAAGGGTATAAGAAATAGAACTGTTGCTCCTATGACTTTGTTCAAGAATTTTTTAAATAATTAAATTTAAATAATTTAAATTAAATTATTTAAATAATAATGATATGTGAGTGATGACACTTAAGATTCTGACATGCTGTCTTCTTTTCCAAAGTTCAGAAATTGTGCTTCAGGTTTCATTTTTTTTTTTTTAAACATTTACAGGTTATACAGAAAAGAAGTCTTACAGAAACTAATGGAAAAATGTGTTTCTAAAGGATACGTCTTCCAGATGGAGATGATTGTTCGGGCTAGACAGTTAGGATATACTATTGGAGAGGTATAGTAAAAGTTTTGATATGTATATCATGCTTTCATTTAAATGTAGATACAAATTACTGGGAGCATAGGAAATTTTGTGCACTTCCAAGAAGCAAGATTTTCAAATTGATATAAAGAAATTACAGAGAACTCTATTTTTCTAACTTTTCCAGGTGAATATCAGATCTGAAATTCCAGTTGTTTATTCCCCTCGCTGATATGCTTCCCTGTTCCTGTTGCCTTTTCTTTAGCTGCATACAATTTTACAAGGTTCTTCAAAGGAGGGAAAGAAGTAAAAAGTACACCCTGAAGCTGCTCTGAGCCTTTTCTTTCCTTCTTCATATTGTACAGACATCGCCAGTTTGGTCTTTTCAAATCATTTTGTTTTCTCCAGCAGCTTGATTTTTTTCCAGATTTATTCTGTTCTCTGTCATTTACTGCCTTGTTAGTTTCCAAATTTCCAGCTATCACAACTTTCCATTTCTAAACTCTTTGAATGTGCTGTCTACAATCATTGAAAATGAACTCCAAACACTTGTTAGATCCTGTATTTCCAGCAGTCTGATTGCTGTCTTTTATATTTCATTGAATTGCTCTTGCTGGTGTCTTTAAAGATGATTCACTGGAATTCTCTCTGCAGCCAAATCTCAGAACCAGTTCTTTATCATCATTTTCATGACTGGGAATTGTCAGAGAATTCTGTTGCCGATTCTGCTCTCTCTAAACCTTACATATTGCAGTTCTCTATCAACATCAGGTAGAGTATTTCCATGCAATAAAACAAGCTCTTCTCTTCCACTTGTTTGTGGAGCAACATCCCTATCCTGTCTGTAGCTGGGATTTGCCCCTAATTTCTTTGGTCTTCACATCTAGCTGCATTCACATATTGCTTTCTAATATTGCTGAATTAAATCCTCACCTGTCTATACATCCAGATAATGAAACCTAGGGTGATAGGAGGTTTTATTTACTATACATTTTTTAAAAAGTAAAATACACTTCTCTGGCTTTAGAAAAATGCAGTCATGGGTTGTTTATACCTCTTCAGGCTGCTGCTGCAAAGGCCTTTTTTCTGTTTATTATTTGATCCCACCACTCATTTATTTACATGCCTCTACTGGTTATATAGCATCAAATATAAGATGCGTGTCTTCCAGTTTAAAGCCCGGCAGACAGTCTTTGCTAGGCCTGATGTCTCCAGTCAGTTGTTAAGATGTGGGCTCTGTTCAGTGATGGGTCAGTGAGGCCATCCTCTGCAATTCATCTGTTACATTCTCAAGTTGGCGTTATCTTCCCTCTTCCTTTGGTTTCTCACATGTGGGAAGAGTTCTCTCTAATATCTGGAAAGTTGCTTCATTACTGTGCTTTGGCCTTCTCTTTTAAGATTTCTGTTGTGGCATCTGTAACAAACTTGACAGTGTTCAGATTGCTGACACAGACCTATAATTAAGACTATTGTATTTTTACTGCTGTGTTATCATCTCTGTATTATAACTTCCTGGGGCAGGACAATTTCTATTATGTTTCAAGTACAGTGATACAGTATTTCCTGATCAATACTTATGATCTTTATATATTTTATAATTATGCAAATAGTAATACTGAAATTCCAGAAGAGGTGACGCTTGCATGTCGAATTCCTAGTTTGCAGGTGCTGCAACTGTACAGGCAGAATGGGAGTTCTTGTGCAGTTGCAAAATGTAGATATAGCTGTGAGAGTAAAATATTTCTTAAGCAAAGTTGAAAATGAAGATTGAGACCTGCCAGTCTGAAAGGAACAAATGGATGATGAGATGAACTGACACGAGCTATACCTGAATAGTCTCGCATGCACCTCTGTTACATTTTGCTGTACTTTACCATATGTGAAATGTGCCCCGGTGCATGGAATACACCCTTTGGAAAATGCTGCCTTTAAGACTAATGATAGAACTTCTTATGCAAGAAAGGCAAAGTCCAGCGATGACACACATGGTTAATTCCTATGCTGAAGGGAAAGACTGGATACATCTTATTAGATGAGACACTGACCATTCTTTCATCACTAGTCTGGAAATGTCACTTCTGATATCCTGCACTGACTACATATTCAGTGATTTCTGTCCGTGCCCCATAGATCAGCTGTCTGTAGTTGCCAGGATGCTTGCTGGGATCATCAAAGGGACCCTACTAAGAAAGCCAGAGTCCTTGCTGAGTCTGTCTGCATGTCTTTACCATCTTCTTGCCCTGGCTTCTCTTCTCCATGGACTGATCTGCTAGAATTGTGAGAAATCATGAGTCCTAGCACAGATACAAGGACTTGGTGATTTTTGTGTTCCACTTGCCAGATGATTTCTGGTTGAAACTGCCAGAAGAACCCTAAGCCAATTTTTTAATGACTTTTGCAAATGCAATTCTTTATTTTAGCCCCTGAAGTATTTCAGTTTTGCACACAAATATATATGGAAATTCTTGAATATTCTAATACAGTATTGGCAAAACGTCCTGTCGTGTGTCATTTGTACGTGGCCAAATTACTGAAAAGCAGGATGTTCCTAACATTTTATGAGTAGTGAGTTAATTTGGACAATATGATCACTTCAGTAAGGAAACATAGTGTTTTAAATGCCCTTTAATCCTGTAAACAATTTATAAAATGGTCAGAGACCAACAAAGACAGGTATTGCTTGTAAAATATGTGCTAACTGCCCTTTTCAGATGTCATCTTCTAGCCAGTGGTGAGGTTGAGCAGGATGCTGTTTCATGGTGGTAGGAGATTTCTGCCTTCCCGAGGTGTTGACTCAAAGGTATTGGATTCAGCTAACAAGGAAAGTGGTGAAGGTTCATTTTAAAGCCCCAGGCTTTTAGTGTGCTTAAGCTATTAAGTTTGTTCTGACTGGTGTATCATCCAGCCACTGAGTAATGTCTTTGGATCATCTTTAAAGGTGATAAACCAAATAATTTCATGCTCCCCAGCTGTGGGGCATCATTAAAGCCACTGGTAAGAACTGACACAAAGGAAGCCAATCTGGTGCTTGCCTTCTTCCCCTGTCTAAACATGCTGTCGTTCAAAGGCCATTCTTTTGTTTACAGAATATCTCATTATTTAGATTTTGAACGTTAAAAATAGTTTTGCTTGTTTCAACAGGTTCCTATTTCATTTGTGGACCGTGTCTATGGAGAATCTAAACTGGGAGGCAATGAAATAGTCTCCTTCTTAAAGGGACTCTTGACCTTGTTTGCTACAACATGATAGTTTATCCCACATTAACTTTCTTAGAAAAACATTTTCTGACATCTGTGTGGTTTTTCTTATATAATAGCAGAAGCTTGATAATTTGTGTGGTGACCAGAAGACCTGCTATAAAGTAATAATTAAATGAGCCATCAGTACTAAACTAAATATATTGTATCCCAAAATGCTCCTTTCAAAATAAATGAACTGTATGCTAAACTGAAAACTAATAAAGACTAATGTTCTATGCTGTTTTTGTAAAAATAATGAAGTCTTAATAAAGAACACAAAGCTAAATGGTATTTTGCATTTAGAAATGAATCATTATTCAGCAGAAGTTGAAGATGAATTTGAAATAAAGACAAGCAAGCACATAAAAGAATTACAGAATTTATTTTATCTTTGTTCTGTGGCTTGCAGATAGTATTTTAAATATATACCAATTAGTTCCCTTTCTTTCCTCAGCACATATATATATATATATGTATCTTAAAGCAGATATGTAGAACAGTTTCTACAGAACTGATAATATCTTGTGTAGCTTAAGAGGAAATACAGATGAGTACAGTGATTTGTTCTTTGTAAAATTGTTCCTAGACTGGAAAGAAGGAATATTCTTTGGATAAGACAAAATTATTCCACACATATGATTCTTTTTATTTGGTGTGTTTGTCGAGAAGCAGATGATTCCCTTTTCCTATTTTCTTTAGAATCTAAACATTATTAGAATCTATAAAACTGGAGTATGACATCTCACCCAACTTTAGCATGACAGAAGACCCAGTTCACCTCAGTGAAGTAATTTGAGGAGTTTTTCTTATGTCAGATAACAATTTGCAATGTAAAAATTTGTATTTGTTTGAGATCCTGATGAACAAAATACAGATGGAGTGATAATTTTTTTTGTTTCATGATTTGATATAGCCAGAACTTGGAAATTATGAAGCCCTTGCAATCAAATAAGCACTTGGGGGGAGGGAGGAAGAAGTAAGCAGGAGGATTAAATTATTCTAATAGTGGTTTTACACATATATATGAAAAATATGTCCTCAGGTTTTCTGGGGGGGAGAAGGGTGGTTCTATGGATACCTTTATCAGAAAGTTAATGGTAGGAGAGGAGAAGCAACAAATGTCTTAACAATTATGCCTGTTTGGTCTGTGTTTGTCTGCATTCCTTTAGTACACTAGATACAGCAGTTGTATGATAAATTCATATTTCAGACAGTTATTACATTTCCTTTAAAATAATAAAAAATGTAGCTGGATTACAGTGACTTAACTGTACATTTTGTGACATTTGCCTGTACTTTTCCAGCAAATTATATATAATTTCATTTGGTGCAGGCTAATCAGATCTAATAAAATATTAATAAAGAAATCTCTTGGTCTAAAGGACCACTAAAATCTCCAGTGAATGTTTCATCTATTTGTTTCATTTTGAGGTTTCATGGCTAAAATCAACACTTGAAAATAGGTACAGTTTTTAATGACCAAATAGTGAGTTCTAAGATGTTTATAAAAATTTACATACTACTGAAAGCCATTTGCTAGAATACAAATTGGGCCTCAACAAGATCATTTTTGTCGCAGACTTTTCTGTAACAATATACAACCAAGTCCACTTTATTAATTATACATGATTAATTGCTGTGAATTAGGGTTTAGCTTTTATAATGTTCGTGCCTACTTTTTAATTATGCAAATTACCTGGTAAATTTCCTTCATTTATCTATGAGATCATGTTTGGAGGAAGGTGCCTTTACATATAAATCACGATCATAATACATGGCATATTTTGTTTGCTCCAGTTCATGAAAGTCTGCAACATGATTGGGCTACATTCAGGTTTTTTGATAAATAGGTGGTATTTCTTATTATGCTTAGAGGTAATGGTATTTAAGTTATCAAGAAAGTAGTGCCATAAATAAATGAGAACAACTGCTTCATGGCATCAGGACACAAGTAGACACTCTACAATACTTCTTGAAACAAAAGGTCACAAGAGTGAAACTGGTTTCAATAGCCTGCACCAAGGTACTTGTAGAAAGCACTACTGGAAGGAACGAATACATGGACCCAGGGGAAAGAAGCAGAATTAGGAACACACAGGCTTTCCCTGAGTTAGTGGAATATATACATATATGCTTGCACATGTATATATTTCACAATATATACCATGAAAACCTCTTCCCCCACCCTGCCCTAACAAAAAGACTGGAGTTCTGAAAAAACCAAGGGGCTGGGCTGCAGATAACTCGGTGAATGTTGAAAGCACTTTGAAAAGTTGTCCTACAGTACGTTTTAGAAACCTGACCTTCAGCAGAGGTGCTGCTCTTTGTGCATTTGACCCTCCATGCACTTCTAGAGGGGAGAGTCATAAAATAGTGTATGCTGTTAATGTCGAGTTAGAAAAAAACAGAATCTTTGGCCAGAACTGGCTAAAATCACCTCTCCCTTCATCTCTTTCCACATCTCAGCCTGCAGTACTTTCTTTCCAATTAGTTTCTCCACTGAGGTGACTAAAAACCTTTGGTTCTAATGTATTCCCTGTCTTTGAGCACTTAGATCTGGCACTGTAGAACTTCACCAGTGCTCCTGAAGGGTGTTCTGTACGTAGGCAAACACTGCAAACACAAGCTCTGAGACTGCATTCTATCACTGACCTTCCTCTTGCATGCACTGCTCTGTGAGCTCATGAAAAATAAAACCTGTAATAGTGCAAGCGGTGTGCAGAGCTCTAATAGAGATCCTTCTTTAATAAAGCTACTATCTTTTTAGCAAATAATGAGATGCAATGGCCATCACTTAGTGCTACTTAAACCTTTAACACAAACTCTTTGAGTTTGAGTTACTTGAATTTGTTTTCAGCTGCTTTTAATCAAGCCCCTTTGTGTTTGAAGACCACCTATGTAAATTCTTAACATAAACTCAAAAAATGCAAAAGAATACGTGTTGGAAAGGAAAAATGGCTTAGAGTGTAAGAGGGAAGTTACGCAGGAATGGCCATACTGTGTCTTACAGTGCTCAACAAGGGATGCAAAATGAAAGCAAATAAGAAACACAGCTAGTATGATCTGCCCAAATACACCAGCAGTCAGCAATACAGGGTCTTTTGGAGCCAGAAGTCAAGAGCTTTTAATGGTTCCTTGGGTTTTCTAAGGATTTGATTGCTTTTTGTGTCCATTTAAAATTTCTCACTTCTACAGGAGTGAATTTCTCACTTCTACCACACCACACATTGCTATTCTCAAAATGTTAGTAGAAGACTGCAGTAGAACAATATTTCTACTATAATCTTTAGAGATCAGGTGCCTAGAACTCCATACAATGTCTTAAATATTCATGTACTAGGGATTTATATAGTGGCATTTTAGTTTTCAGTTCCTTTCTTAATACCATTGCAACACTCTACGTGCCTTGGTTTGGCCACCACAAAACACTGACTTGACATTTACAGAGAATTTTTCATTTTATGTCCCTGGTTTTACAGTTCCACATAAATCAGCTTTTCTTAATTACATCCATATTCATTTCCTATGAAGGCACAAATATTCTGCTAATGTACTTTCTCTGTTATACTTTGTTAGGAATCTGTGTCTGCAAGCACTCAATCATTTGGCAAGCACAGTTTTAATTCCTTCCTGGCTTAAATCAGTATATATCATGGATATATTTGGTTCAGCATGTTTAATGAAGAGAGGGAAGAAGGTAACTCACATTTTGCAACCATAATATTCACTTTCCCCGGAACAACAAACCGGTTACTGCTATTGGCAGCCAGGCAAGGCTCTGGGAAGATCTCTTGTTCTATTACTGTGGGCTAGAGATTGAATGTGATGTATGAAAAATCTTACACAGCAGGCTCAGCTGTTCAAATCTATTAAACAGCCAAAGCGTGTGCTAAACTTCACACATGCAGTCCCAACAGCCCTGAAGTTCAAGAAGAATGGGTTATGCTGTTTTGCATGGCATATCATTAAGATTATTTTTTGAGTCTGGTGTTAAGACTTCTGCATGCACATCCCCAGCCACAGCTCTGCTGAGTGACTTAAGCAGCCCTGTATTAGCATCAGGCGTTTTACTGGACAATCTGGAGCCCCAGCTGTGAGATGAAACACATAACTGGGGGCTACTAAAATTGATACCGCCTCTTGTCCAAGGACTTAGCACCTGATCAACTATACTACATGGCAGGCAGACTGTGAGCAGCTGTGGTCTCCTCATGCCCCTAACACCCTCAATATCCCTGCCATAGGGATACACAATACAGGTTAATTCCCTGAAGTCTGGATTTTGTCACTCTTTGTCATATGAAGATTTAGGTACATAATTCACAAGGTCAAGCAGTTTAATCCAGCTGACCTAGATGATGATGATTCTGAAGCTGGGACAACCACTTCAGACAACCAAGGCCTGGTTAAAGTATCCCACTGAATGGGAAACCAGTATCAAAATGAGATCCCTAGCTTATTTGTTTGGAGTTGTGTTTGTCTGATCTGAGGTTGGAGGGTGTAAGCTTCAGTTTTGGTTTGGTTTTTTGTTATTTTAATCTGAGGCTTTAATCTGAGCCTGCAATAAAGATGTTGCCAATATAATCACTCTAATAAAACATATTTTCCAGTGAACTGTGTAGAAAGCCAACTGCAAGGCTGCACAACCTTCTGCATATCAACAGTAAAAAATAATGATGAATAATCAATAATATTTATTTAAGGGTCTAGCAAGATTCCAAGTAAAAGCATGGACTGAAATCTTGGCACAAATGAATTAAATGACAGATTGCCTACTGAGTTCAATACATTGATGACTTCAGCAACAGCTTTTCAGTGGTTGGCATTGCAGAGTTGTAGGCAATTTTAACATTAGGATCAGTATGAACAGGGTGCATGCAGAAGAGAGGATTGCTTATCAAACTTTATCATTGTTTTACAATGTATTACCTCCAAGGTATCATACTGTAGAAGACATGAATAAAGAAGGTAATCACAGAACTTTTGTAAAGTACAAAATCTTTTTAAGCATCATTTCCTCCTCTGTTCCTGCCACATTTTACCTTCTTTCTTCAGGCACAGGGGCCATTTATAACTTCTTATAGATTGTGATTATTACTGTTCAGGGGGAAATATATTGGGACTGGAGAGAAGAAAACTGAATTGCAACTTTTAATCCAAAATTAGATCTCAAAACTCAGCCCTTGAGAGAGGGATTTCAACAAAGCAGCAGTGGGCAAAGACAGTAAAATGGAAGGTTATTCCTGCAAGATTAGTTGCACTGACTGGTCAACAGAAATTGGTATCAATGGTGCATCATAATTAAAAACAACCAACCAACCTTGTG